GGAAAAACTTCTCCTAGTAACATGTCCAAAGTATGTGAGATAAGCTTCATCATCTTTGCTTCAAGGAGCACTCTGGCTGCAACTTCTCCACATACGTATTTGTTTATTCTTTTGACAGTCTAGGGGATACTTGGTACTCTTCTCTAGCAACACAACTTCATCAAAGGCATTAATTCCTGCCATCATTATTTGTTGTCCAGGTTCAGATGCACAACAGATGATTGGAAAGCCCACGGACTAAATCAGACACAACTTAATCTTTAAACTGATAACAATACTAGTTTGGTGAGGTCCCTCCCTAATGGTAAACATTCTATATGAATCCCATATAAAATAAACACAAGCATACTTTCTTATTCCTCACATATACTGTTGTCTTATCATTTTCCCAAAAGCATGTGCTCTCTTTGTGTCTTGTAAAATACTTTACTAAAGTACTTAACTATTATTGATATACTTCACTTTTTCATAATGCTAATGCATATTTAACAGACTACAGTATAGGGTCAACATAGTTTATACACACTTTGTTATATGACGTCAAGTCATCTACAACTCTTAGCAACCCTGTGTGCAACAGCTCTGAAATCTGCCCTATCCTGAGACAGTCTCATTGACTCCTACACACCAATCTCCACTGCCCCAGTTACTATTATCAATCCTTCTCATCTAGGGTCTTCCTCTCCTGTGCTCTCCTTCCACCTTTTCAAGCATGGTCTCTCCTCCATGTGCCAAACAAAGTAGGTGAGATGGAGCTTCAGAATCCTAGCCTCCCAGGAGACTCTTGGTTTCACCCTCTCCAAGACCTATTTATTTTCGTGGTGTTCCACGGTATATTCAAGTCTGTCCGCCAGCACCACAATTTAAAGGTATCAATTATTTTCTGTCACCTTAGTCTTTGTCCAGATCGCTGATGCATAATAAGTAATTGCAAAGACCATGGCTTGAACACCAAAGAACCCCGTGTATTCAACTTTCTGCGATACTTGCTCTATTATGGAGGTTGATCTATGTTTGTAACTCCCCATCCTTCCTTTATACAGAAACACAAAAGATCAACTCCAAGCAGATCAAAGACCTAAAGGTGAAAGCTACCATTATAAACCTTCTACAAGAAAACAGGATTAAGTTTGGCCTCGAGTTTGGCAAAGATTTTTAAAATAGGATACAAGAAACATGAATCTGTAAAGAAAACTAAAATTGCTAACACCACTCTGGCAGTTGGAATCCCCCTACAACTCCAAGAGATAAAGATGGGAAGTCATTTACAGCTCTGGAAAACTGGCTGGAGCAGCAGCAACGAGTCAGTTTCGGCAATGAGAAAATTCTTAGAGACATAAAGACGTTGCTAAGAATGTAAAGACAAGTTACAGACTCGGGAAATATACATACATGCAACACATGAATCCCACAAAGAACTTACATTAAAATTATACACAACTCTTAATTCAATAAAAATATGAGAAAAGAGTAACAAGAAAACACAGGCAAGAGATCTGAATAGGTACTTCAACAAATAACATTTTCAACAGGATTTGAAGCATTCTTATTCATTAGGAACATGCCTATCAAAACCATGAGAGAACTACTACATTATCTACTAGAGTAGTTAAACCACAAAAAGACTGACAATTTATGAGGCACTGGTGAAAAAAATCATACAACAGAAAACACATTGTTTGTGGGAATGCAAAATAGAGAACTCTGACAGTTAAATATATAGCTACCGTACATCCCAGTAATTACACTTTTAGGTATTTCTCCAAGAGAAATAAAAATATGTGTCATACAGAGTCACCATGTAAATGTTTGTAGCTGCTTTATTTGTAATACTGAAAACGATCTAAACAGCCATCAATTAGTGAACAGATAAACATACTGTGTGAGAATAAATGCATTGTGCAGTATGATTATTAAAAGGAATGAAGTACTTCAATTACCTAACACAAATAAATCCTGAAAAATATTAGGCTAAGTTAAAAAAAAAAAAAAAAACCCAAACTCAAGTCAGACATAAAAGGGCATTACTGTCTGATCCCACTTACAAAACATTCTGGGAAAGAGAAAACCTATAGATAAAGAAAACATAGTAGTGGTTTCAAGGGGCTGCAGGTAGAGAAATGGAATTAAGTGAATGAAGGAACTTCTTTTGGGATAATGCAAATATTCATTGCTTGATGGTGTTGATGGTTCCACATGTATTTGCAAATTAAAAGCTATATACTTGGGGGGAAGAGTAAATTTTATTTAGGACTAATTACAGATCAATTACCCTCATATGAGGTGAAAAGGGGAGTTTTCCAGGGGTGATTTAAAAGAGAACTTAAAGTAACTTCATTTTATTTTCAAAGAACTATTTTACAGACATTTCTCACAAACCATAGTATGGGATCATATCCATAGCAAACAACTGAAGGAAACTACTAAGCACAGATTAGTAAGGAGAGAGCTAAATAAATTACAGATAGCTAAGGTGGAGAACCTGAAATATATTTATAATTCTATGCATTATAGAACAAAGAGAGTTAAAGACTGAAGTAGCGTTGGAAATTCCCAGAGTAAAAATAAAAAATATTCCAGGTATTTTGTTGAATGAAACAAAGTTGTACAATAGCATATACAGTGAAGCCATTAAAAAGCAACGAAACCTATAGGTATGTGTACAGAGGTCTGGGAGGACACAAGCTGGAAGTCCACAGTGCTAACATAAGGAACACTGAGGAGAATCCGGTGTATTGTATGCTTCTTCCATGGCATGGAGGAAAAGAAGACCGTTGTCAGTTTTTCTGCTTCTGTGTAGTTCTGTTCTCTTCTCCTAAACACCCTAAATAAAGCTTAGTACTTTTAGAATAAAAATAAGTTAAAGGAAGCACATAAAACACTGAGACTGTTGCCCCAGCTTTAGTTACACTTACGGGAGGGGGGAAAAAACACCTTTAGATGTCTTGCTGCCATCTTCTGGAACAAACAAGAATCTACACCCGTATAAAAAGATGACTGCAGCTAAAGAGACAGAATCTCTCAGAGGTTACAGCAGCAGAAAAAGGTAATGTAGGAGGAGAAACAATGCTGAAGTCAAGTTTTTGAGTTAAGCACTAATGAAAATGAACCATAAGCCTGTTCATTTTGGGGAAACTCCCTGTTACCAGAAGATATCAATAAAATGACATTTCTGAAAACAGCAGAACTTGTAAAGCGGTATCTGCTGGAAGACAGAATATTTTTCTAGTTGAAATTTAACACCCAAATCACAGCTTGAAAGTTTCTTTTCCTCACTGCCACTTTTTGAGGAATAAAACTGAGCATGAACAAGTGTAACTTTAAAAATGAAAATACAAGTGAGATTATATTTTTACCCTATACAAAAAAAGAGCAAATTAACAATAAGGGGTTTTTAATTTGAGATTTTATGTTAAAGAAGGTAAATTAAAAAATGTAAAAAAAAATCCTGTAAGAATGTTTCTTACTTCCCCCCCTTTTTTTTAATTACAAGAAAAATTCTTCACAAGAAATTAATTAGCCCTTTTTTTTTCCCTTGCTCTGTTCGGAGAGGGGGAAAAAGCCACCAAATTATAAGGAGAGGAGGTCTTATAAATAATTTACATGTCGAGATAAAAGAAATCTTTTCAACAATACACCCTTTAGTGAAGAAATTGGGGATCACTCTGAGTGTTAATGTAAAATACATTAGTCTTTAGCAGCAGGAGTTCCAGACCTACTGGTGCCAAGAAGGTAACAAATAGTCTCTATCTGAGGAGGGGAAAATGGGCAGCTCAGCAGGAGCTTTCTTCCCTGTTGTGTTATTTATAGGGAGCTCTATTTGTTAACATGTTTCTGCGATCATGGAGAGGGAGAGTTTGATGATTTAAAGGATTTCAAAGACAACTGTTTAATGATACAATGATTTATACACATTCAAAATCTCAAGATATATAGCAATTTAAATTTCTAAACAGCTATCACAATAGCCGGAGGAGGGATTTTAGAAAAGTTGGAACATATGATAGTACTTGATATTATACTGCAGGAAAATGCCACTTTGAAAAAAAAAATCAGTGGCCTAATCCCCTCAAGGTTAGCTAGATTGCTACGGATCCTCCAAGTCATCTTTGCTGTTGTTCTTTTAGAGAACCATGAACTGAATCTTGAAATATCTGTGTCTAACTGCAATAATCTCACACAAAAATGCGTTATTTCCACCAACAACCAGCTCCCAAATTCTACCCAACAAAGTGTGAGGGGATCTTTTTTGAAGGAATGTTACTTATAAATCACATATTCATTATATAATGATTGATAAATAAAATTCTGGTTACTGAAACTATAAGGTTTTAACTCCTTAAAGACACATAAGTCATCAAACTCTTAACAGACCCAAAATGATCATTTACAATTTTCCTACAGATTGAGAATCTTTTTAATCATTTTGTTTGCTGTCTTTGAAAAATAAAAACATCCCATTCGAATTTCTTTCACATTCTTCAAGATCATATTGCCTTCAATTTCCAAAACCCTCATTAAATCTATCAAGCTGTCTTTCAAAAACAAAACAAAAGATAGACTTCTTGCTCAGATAAATCAGTAAATTTTGAAAAATGCTTTGTTACAACAGAGGCTTTCTAAGGTCTTTGGGAAGTATATATTAAACTTGAAATAAAAGTTGAGACACAGCACTGGGTCCTTTAAAAACAACCCTTTTCAGCAAAATACTAATTAAGCATATGCCATTTAGAGTAATGAGGACATGATAACACGGTGGTTTGGGGTTGTTTGGGGGTTTTGGGGTTTTTTTTTGCCTGATAAAGAAATCCACTTATTCCTACTTAAAAGGAGGCTTGATTTAAATGATTTTATTTTAAACTCTTTAAACACCAAAGAACAGAGAATGCTATCTAGAGTGAAAGCATCTTTTAAACATGGATGGTTATCTTCTTTCTGCCAATTGTGCAGGAAATGCCAGTTACAGCTTTTGTTCTCCATTATGTACAGGTCTTTCAAAGTCATATAAGAGAGCTTTTCCCCCTAGGATGCTGGGTAATATTTTTAGTACTAGGAAGTGCAGATGTACAGAAGCTCACCCTCCTCTTCCCAAGTACTTTATCAGGATTAGTGGCAGGATCCTCACCATTTTCTTTATCTATCAAGGAGGTCAGCATGGCAGGAGTTTGTCTTTTGGACATAGTTTCCTTTTGGGGGAACAAGTTTTCATATCCTTTGCTGTCAACTGCACTTATTGTCCTCCTTTTGAGTTTTTGAGAAGTGCAGGACGTGGAAGGAAATGGAAGTGAAATCCATACAAGTCCTTCATTTTTCAAGTTTTTTTGCAGCCTTGTGCTACGCCTCACTCTTGTTTCATTACTGCTTTTGAAGGTTTGCTCTATGGCATCAGACAAATCTTTACATAGTTCAGAATGTTCTACATCAGTCTCTACAGAGCTGCTTACCATGCTGGCACTGTTGGGAATGTCACTGTTTTCCAAAAGTAAACTTTGACCATCAAGGGAATACATAGAGCGTCTTCTACATTTCCTTTCTTTCTTAGTCATATCATGATTTTCTGTGCATTTTCCTTCCAGGTCCTCACACTGGCTTTTAGTTTCTTTCATACTTCCAATCAGGACATTCTCTTTTTGCCTGCCAGGCATCAGGTGACAGCATTTAGACTTTTCTTCTGGCAGTACTAAGAGGCCATCCTCCTTGTCACACTTTGTGTTTCCATCTTCTGAAATTTTACAGGCTTGACGAAAGTTGTCCACATTTTGATCAGCAACAGAAAACTCTTGGGACTCCAGGATAAAATCTGGTTTGTGACTATCTGAAAAGATGCATTCTTCAGTCACAGAAGTATAAGAAATTAGTTTCTTTTCACCAACTTCTTTTGGAATGCCTTCATTTTCATTAACTTCTATAATCTTTACATTTGAATGTTGATCAAAAGTGGCATTACCACACAATGAAGAACTTTTTTTGTCAGAGCTGCAAAATTCAGACACATCATGCTTATCAAAACTTCGATCCATACACAAGTCTTTCGGGATCTCTGGCAAAAGAGTCTTTCTTTTAGTTAGATTTTCAGGTGGTTTTAGCATTTCTTCAGGTTTCCCATTTGATTTGAAATTATCTATAAGAATGTAAAGAAGTGAAAATCTAGTTAAAAATTATAATAAATAAGCTTTAACAAAATCAAAACAGGTGTTTAACTGTACACTAATCTCTATTTTATTCTGTGTTCTAAGTTTTTAAAAATCACTTCCAATATGTACTTACCTCTAACCTATCATTATCCTGCTTCTCTTTTAGTCTGCCCCAAATCCCAAGTTTAAAAAGAAAATAAATAAAGGATACTTAACACATAAATGAATAAAGCATCTAACTTCAGACCATGAAAATGAAACACAATCTTATGTTGTCTCCTCCCTTAGAATGTATTCTTTCCACTACAAGGTCAGGTCAGTTTGACACAGATATTTTGTATTTCCCTAGAAGAGAAGTACTGAACATGGACAACACTGTATTTTTTTAACTCTTCTCTCAATGCATCCCCTTTAAACAGTAGGAAGAAAATTCAGGATTCTGGGAGATTTGAAGAGCAAAACCTAACATGCTGAAAAGCACAACCCTCAGGTCTTAAATCTTTTGTTAGAAAACAAATATAAAATGTATTGGTCTCTCTAACAGAGTCATGCTTGTTTTAATACTATAATAATCATCTCCTCAATCTGATTCCAATTCAAGTTCCAAGTCTCTTATGTAATCTGTGGCTTCATATGTTGCTAATATATCAAAGGTGAGAAAGAACATCATTAAGGTAGCACAGGCAAATAAATTCTTTATACTAAATTTATACTACTATTACGAGATTCCATTTCTCTTCCTAACTTCATTCAAGTAAGGATAGCACACATCTTAAAATTCAAAACTGGAAGTTGGAAACAAATATCATTTGACCCAGCAATTCCACTTCTAGGAATATACCCTAAAGAAACTAGAGCCATGCCTCAAAAAGATGTATGCACACCCATGTTTACTGCTGCATTATTCACAACAGCAAAATGATGGAACCAACTCAAGAGCTCATCAATGGATAGAAAAACCATGGTACATTCACACAATGGAATATTATGCAGCACTGAAAAACAATGAACTTACAGTAATTCTGGAGGACATTATCCTAAGTGAAATATCTCACTCACAAAAGGACAAATACTGTGTAAAACAGGATTGACATGAGAGACTGGGGAAATAATGAACACTGCATTGGAACAGATGAGGGGGAAAACTGTCTGAAATAAATATATATGATTTGATATTATATGTATGACAACAATCTGGAACAAGAGGTGTATTGCAAAAGTAACTGGGGGAGAAAGGAGAAAAGAAAATGTATAAGAGTAAATAAATAATTAAAAAATAAATGCTCTTAAATAATAATAATTTTTTTAAAAATTGGAAGATATACAAAGCGTAAGCTGACCCAAAGTCTAAAACACAAAACATCAATTAACTAATATGTCAGTGGAGCCTTTTATACAACTAGAAAAACTGATAGGTATATTCACGTGAATGGAATTACCAAGAGTATGAAATGATCATGGGGAAAAGTAACATTAACATTAAAAAAGGAAAGAAAGGAAAGGATGACGGAAAGAAAAGGAAGAAAGGGAAAGGGGAGGAGGGAATGGAATTGCTTTGCACCTGATACAGGCGAAACCATTGGCTCAAGGTAAGAAGCCGTCTCAGGTATTTTTAAAAAGAAATTTACCAACAGAATGGCACAGGATAGGGCAAGGTTCAGGTGCTATTCACTGGGTCGCTGTAAGTTGTGCTCACCTCAACTGTACCTAACAACAACAGAATATAAGACAGAAAATTATACAAAAAATCCTTCAAACATCTGTTTTTAGAAACTTGTCTGTCAGAACTGGAGATAAAAGAAAAACAAAACTTAGCCCCACTCTGAAAGGGACAAGCTTTGAGGGTAGGGAAGTGGAGAGATAATAGGAGAGTTTCAAACTCATACATTTTGGTTGGATCCACTGCTGAGAACTTATCTTTCTAGCCCAGAAATACTGAATCAGAATCTCCAGTTTAACAAGATTCCCTGGGTGACTGCTATGTATACAGGTATGAACTGGTTTGAGGCCTTGGATAGTGGTCATTTTGAAGCCAGGAAAGAAAAAGAATACCCAGGGGAAAAGGCAGCTCAGCTAAGACTTTTTAAGGATGAACAGCCACTGATTAGCTCCTTTGCCCAAGGCATCCTACAGAACGCTGCCACACTTGTGCCAAGGGGCTGGAGAAGACTCTATATGGTTATGGTAGTGGTTTCTCTGTTTATTCCCATTTCTGTTCTATCCTGAACAAGTCCAAAATCGTTCTGTACACAGAAGCCAAGGTACTGTAGCAGCTGTATCTTACATATTTTAAATCTATGATAAATCCAATCATCTGTAAGCTACTGAGAATTAACACAAGATAATTATCTTTTAAATATTTTTATATAAAATTAATACATTAAATAGGACCTACATTATTATTATTATTATTATTTTCATCAGGATTTAATAAATGTTAAAACTTGGGCATTTTTGACCAGAAGCAACTCTAATTCATTTTTAACAAAACAAGTATCAAGTATCAAATAAATTAAAATGTTCCAATTTAAACATTTTCAAGATCATCAAGTTCAATTTATGAACTTCATTTCTGTAACATGCTTATTACTTAGTCTTAAACATTTTACCAAAACACCAGGAGTCAAAACTTTTTTTTTAAACTTTTATCCTTAATTCATAGAAGATATATTTAAATCTTAACCCATCACCTTGTTTTCAGTCCTTTTTTAAATTCTTTTTTTTAATGAAGGTTTACATATCATATGGGTTTTCATATATTCAGACATTTTGTTTATGACATTTATTACCACTGACTAACATAATTAAAGTATTTACAGTAAACAACAAAACAACTTAATGCCATCAAGTCAGAGCCAACTCATAGTTTATATTCCAGAGGGTTTTTCTGAGGCTGTAAAAGATATAGGAGGAGACTGTCCATCTTTCCCTCTGGATTGGTAGCTCCATTCCTTATTCCTAGGTCACGAAAGCTCCCTTACAATGTCCCATCAATTCCTTTCTGTATTAATGACTTTAGTTTTTAATTATGAATTACTATCAAACAAAATTTAATAAAATATTTTAACAGGTAAAAGGGTGCAGGATGAATTCTCTAAAATTATATTAAAAAATCTCTGACAAGGAAATTCAGAACTTTGTTGTATTCTTAAAAGGGTCGAAGTGAACCAGAAGTTACAAACTACTCTCTCACTAAAATTTTCATGGCAATAATCAGGACAAGTTGTTAGTACTTCCGGACTTTATGAATAGGGACAATAAAATAGTGAAATAGTGATAAAGAAGGGAGACAAGAGAAAGTATGACATTACAGACAAAAGCATAGCATACCTGAGTACACCCTGTGGATGCCAGGAGCTGAAGGTGTCATCTCCAAGGTCTCGGGGATCTCAGGAATAGGGCTGAGGAGGGGTTTCTTAGAAGCCACTTCTCGTTCCCCATATAAGGATTTCTTTACATCCTGTTTTCTCTTTCCTTTCTTCTTTCTGCCACTTTTTAAAACCTAAGAAAATGTAATTGAAAAAGATATAGTATAATGTACAATTCTGATTCTTTACCTTCTATTCAACTCTAATAAGTACTTACACAGTACTTTTTTTAAATTTCTTTAAATGAAATTTTTACAGAAAAACTCTAGGCCAGCTGATGCATTAAAATATATAGGAAATTGAGTCAGAATGAAAGGGTTAAGTGGCTTACAAAGTTTAACAATACATACAGTAGAACCCAGTTTATAAACTACAAGTTAATTTTTTGTATTTCCACAAGCATTTTACAAATTTAATGGAAAATAAACACTGAAAAATTTAAAAACTGATCAGATACTATAAAGTTAGCATCTTTGACATGATATTTAAAAACAGGATGTTATACAATGACTCAGAACTTAGCTGAATTATTAGAATACATATCTACTAGGATGTTGGGTAAGAGTATTTTCTGTTCATAGAGATGTTATTATTGCTAAGTGCCATTGAGTTGTAGGTGACTCATAGCAACCCTATGAACAAAAGACCTGAACACTTGTACAACTTTCATCATTTCTCCAAGTTCAGAGGCAAGCTATTTTGAAAGTGGATGCCACTCCAAGCTTGTTTTAATCAGGGAGCTCCACCAAACACTGTCCAGCATGGGTAACCATTATCACATTTGACATATCAGTGTCACACTGTTTAACATCGCAGCCACCACGAGCTACCTCTGTACAGCAAATGGACAGACAAATGCTATAGCACTTAGAAGAATGTTTGGCCAAAAACAATTAAAATCAGGCCTAAGGGCTCCAGATTAACATCACCCACCGTTGGCTGAAGAAAAAATAGTGTGTACAGATATTTTGGCGGTAAAGCAAAACTAAACGAGCTGATTCAAACAAATGAAAATTTTATTAAAATTAAAAACAACAGGTCCAGAAAAACCTAGATGGTGCCTCGTTACCAATATCAAATGCTCTAACTGGGCATGCACAGAATAGGAGAAGAATGTAGAACAGAACTCAAAGTATTAAAAAACCCAGACTGGTCTGAGGAGACTGGTGGAACACAGGAGATTATGATCCTTAAGCCTGAAATGAAACCATCCCAGCGACTGTCTTCCAGTCAACCCACAGATAGGTGGAGAAAATGAACCGATAATACATTGGAGGAGCACTCCACCTGCCCAGACAAAGAGGCCAGCATCTGTCCAGTAACAAAGTTCAGAAGGTAGAAAGTGGCAGGAATGAAGGGTAAATAGAAAGAGAGAACACAGACAGGAAGTAAAAAAGAGTGCTGCTACATTAAAATTGCAACCAACATCTCGAAACAAAATGTGTATCAACTATGGAATGAGACATTAATCTTTTCTATAAAATTTCACCCAAATTACAAAATGTATAAAAAAATTCACAAAATTAAAAAGTGACCTGGGGTCATATGTGGTGATTAAGATTGAGATGGAGCACACAGGGGCATTTACCAACAGTGAAGATAGAGAAGTATGTGGACTTGGGAGTTAGGCAGCTCTAAGCTTGATTTCTGGCTTAATTTGCCTCTCTGAACTTCCTATTTTCATGTATAAATGAGCTAACTATCCTGATTTTACATGTTGTGGTCCAAGTGAAAACATACTAAAATGCAAATAAGCATTAAATAATAGGTCAGTAGGATATTCCCAAGGGACATGAAAGCAACAGATCTACGTTCTCTACTCTTCACAACAACCCAACTCACAACAGCCAAAGGGTGGAAGCAGTCAGTCCACTGAAGGAGGAATGGATACATGAAATGTAGAACAGACAGTGGAATACAACTTAGTCATAAAGGGAAATGAGGTCCTGATAAATGCTAAAACATAGATGAAGCTTGAAAACAACACTTAGGGAAGAAAATCAATAGCAAATGGAAAGCTACTCATGGTGTCACTATCACAAACTAAGAGGAAGAGGCAAATGCATACAGACCAAAGTTAAGGGGAGGGGCAGGGCAAGCAGGAATCCTCATTTAGATAACAGGTTTTTGTTTTGGGAGACATAAATTATGACAAATGTAATGATGCCAATTGTACATCCAGAAAATGTTCGAGTGGCAAATGTTGTGTTTATATGAATTTTAATAAACAAGTAGATGAATGACAAGGCTTTGGTAAAGAGAGGTACTTATATATAATAAATAAGAACTTTAAACTGAAAGCAATAGTGCTGAGAGTAAGACAGAGTAAGACAATTTCACCTTATATTTAAAGAGGTTTGTTTGAGTGACAATATAGAAGATTAGCTAGGAGCCAGTTGTGGGAAAGAATGAGCGATATCCAAAATCACATTACTAGTACAGAACTAAAGTGTTCTTCAAGACAGCTGTATTTAAAAAAAATAAAACAAATTCCATGGGAAAATAACTTTGGAACTGTACAAGATAAATGATCCTCTTGATGATTTACAGTATACATAAAACATTAAATTCTCCGTGAAACCCTCCGTATAAATAATCTGTATACACATTAGGGAAATGCTGGGCAACACTAATTATTTTTCCATTAAATGGCTAGGGAAATGCTGACTTAGTCAATAAATGTGGAAATGAAGAGGAAAAAAAAAATTAACTTAGGACTTCTTGGCTAAGTGGCAAACACTGAGATTCTGCCATAAGATGTTTTAGGTATTATATCTAATTTTTCTTTTTAAATGTTTATTTGTAGTTAAATCCTAACTGCTTCATAAGCTTGGGCAAATTACCTTGCCTCTTTGTACCTCATTCTCTGTATACATTGTAAAATAAAAATAACAACTACATATTACTATCTAAAAGTTGTGAAGATTAACATATGTAAAATAGAATAAAGAGTGCTGGGTGGTGCAGTGATTAAAATAGTCATCTATCAAGTAAACGACTGACCATTTTAATTCAAAAGCTGCTGAGTGCTACTAAGAAACCTTCCAGCTCTGGAAACCCTGTGAGACTGTTTACTGTTGCTACAGGGCCACATGAATCGGAAGGAAGTGGATTTGGTATAATCAATGCCACCATGTTAAAACTTCAAAAACAATTACTGATTCATGGATACAAAAAAAAAAGAAAAAAGACCTTTTAAGCAGGATTTTAAAAAAATCATCGTTCTTATGTAAAATGTTCTCAGAATCTACAAAATTGTCCAGGACACAGTAAATAATATGAAAGAATGAACTAAAGTCAAAGAAAAAGTAGTACTGCTTATAAGAAACTTGATACACATATGATAAAAGACATTTTTTCTCAGTCTGATAAATCCTCTACTGTCATTTTGGTAATTTCTTCTATTCTCTTTTTCCCCCTCTCTCTTTCTTGTATTCCTATCAAGTCTTTAAGACCGGTCTTCAATTTTTTTTTTTTTTTTTTTTTCTCTATCTTCTGGGGAAATATAACTTTATTCTCTAGTCCAACTATTAAATTTCACACCTTTGCAATGTCTTCTTTGCTCCTTTCTCACATCAGCCCCTTCTTTGCTTCATGTAGATAATATATTCTTTACATCTTAGGGTAACAGAATATTTAAATAGAGTTTGCTTCCATGCCTTGTATAAACTATTTCTGAGGGGTCAGATTTTCTAATATTAATACTTGCCTTTACCCTTTAATGCTATTGGGTATATGTTTGTCAAATTCTTACTTAAGAAAAAGTGTGTGTTTCCTCTGCTTTCCAGCTTTCTCTTCCTTGCATGAAAATTCTGTGTAGAGACTCCGTGTGGGTGGGAAGGACAGGGCAGAAAGGACAGAATCAATTGCCAGGTTTTGCTTCAGGGCAAGAGCTGGCTATCAAGGCTGTGGGGCTTTCCAAATAATGCCAGAATGAGGGCTTGCTTTAACCTAGATGACAACATCTGTTCTGAGCATCAGGGTAGAAGAGGGGGATGGGATGCCAACTGGTGCAAATTGTTCCATATACAGGACTTCAATTAATCTCTCTGTTTTTCAGTACCACTTCTCACTCTCACAATCCATTGTACCTGCCAATTCTGGCCCAGAGCCTCGTGGGATTCCCGTAAGCCGGCTGGCTCCCAGCTCTTCTCTAGCTCCCTCCTAGCACATTCTGAGCTGTAAATCTTTCCACCTCTTTTATCTGTCAACATGCTCCCATCTGCTTTGTCTTCCAGAAATTCATTGACGCCTGTCGTCTGTTACTTAATACTCCTCCCTCATTTTCTTTCTCTTCTCCTTGCTATTTAAATCTATTACTTCTATTAAGTCACTTCTTTTAATGGAGTGGTGCCCTGGCTGAAGTAAAACTTCAGGCTCAACCATTCCTGAACTTTCTGGTCATGATTTTAAGCCTAAGAAACAAGTGTACATTCTTTGTTTTTAAGGAAATCTATTTCTAATGTAATAATACAAACTTAAATAGGGTGTGCGTGCACACATGTGCGCATCTTTTTCAGCAAAGATTTTGGCCAAATGAGTATGTGACTTTAAGAGCGGCTTAAAGACACAAAGACATTCAATTCCTTCTGGCTTTGATGATTCCAGGACATTTCAGCATTTGACCAACAAAGGCAGTACCCCAGGAAGTTATAGAATGTTTTCTACGGCTGTATGTAAGGCAAAATGAATACACTCCGTTTTGGAAATATTGATTTTGAGAGGTTTGGTATAAGAAGCCCTGGTGGTACAGTGGTGAGGCAGGCAGTTGCTGAAAGGTTGGCGGTGTGGACCCATCAGCTGCTCTGTGGCTGGAGTCGGCTTCTGGAAACACCAAGGGACCTTCTCTACTCTGTGCAAGAGACATTATAAGCCAGAATCAATTCAACAGCAATGGGTTAGGTTTTTGGTTTATAGGATGGCTGAAGAAGAGATGTCTCGTGCTCGCTTCGGCAGCACATATACTAAAATTGGAACGATAAAAAAAAAAAAGAGATGTCTGGCAGGAGTTGAACATAAGTTCACAGATAAGGAAGAACTGGAACCATCATTCACACTGTAAATAATACCACTCAGAAAATAACCATTGACAAGATAAAAGGTTGAACTCTGGGTAAACTAACATTTAAGGATGGATAAAAGACAATATATTTTTAACAGAGTTCAATTATGGTGAAAGCATCTACCAAATGCTGTTGAGATGTCAAGTAAGAAAATTTAAAAAGCTATGTACTAGATTTTAATAGCTTAGTAGGCATCTCGGTAAAAACAAGGTGAAATTCTGAGTTGGCAGAAAATGAGACTGGCCTTTGGATACTCTGGAAAAGTGACTCTAACATGGCACTGACCCCCACACTGGTAAGTCAGTGCACTGTGAGATGGGAGAGGAGTACTGTTAAGATTACTTCGGAGTTGAAATTGTGTTGGATGAAGAGTAGAATGAAAAAGGATGAAGAATTATGATTACTGACCAAAGTTAGAGAAAACAGCTCACGGAGTTTAGGATGAACTGGTAGGGAAATAAGAAACTAGGTGACAAGTAGATACTAAGCAATGTAATGAGGATTCTGGCTGGGGTCAAACAATGGCACATTTAAATGTCTATTACTAGACAACCGGCAGGGTATTGAGAGGAAGTGAGTAGGTGGCTTAAGAGAAGAGGAAGACCAGAACATTCACTGCAGTTTGAGAACCAAGGGACGGGGTTAAGTGGCTAGATTGCTGATCAGTGGGACAGGGGACAGGGACATGAAGATGATAAGGATGACTAGGTGTAAGTTTGTAAGTTCTTCATTGAATGTGGCAAAGTAATCAATCCAGTGACTGTAAGAACAGCAGTCAAAACAAGTGGCAGACTATACATTCATTTTTGTCTAAAAAAAAAATCAAGAGGATTCCTACATAGATTTAAGAGGTTAAATTAAATTAGACTCAAAGATAAGAGTCAATTTAACATGTGAGTGTCTATTACTCACTGTGCCTGATGAAGACAACTTAAAGATGCAAAAATCTCCCTCAGGTAATTAATAGTTTAGTACATAGCTTCTTATGTCTCATTCTACATTATAAAATGATTTTTAATAAACTTGTCCCTAATGTTAATAAGAAAAAAAGAAATTATTTACAAATCATGCTAATTAGACAACAGAAAGACATGAATCACTTCTGCTCTTTTACTTCTTTAACATACCTGCTTCTTTTTAGGAAGTGTTTTGTTGGTGTCTTTAATTTCTTGAGACTTTCTCCTATTAGTTTTCTTTTCTTTAAAAGGCTGGGCTTCTGTATTTAGTAAGTTGCATACACTGTCTTCTGCAAAACTAGTCAATTGCTAGAAAGAAAATTCCAAGTAAGGATATTACAAAGCAAGAACGGCTCTATTTTAATATCTGTCTCTAACTTTTATCACCAAGTTCTTTCCTTCCACTGTCTTGTATTACATTTTCTCTTAATTCACAAACTACACTAGAACTCTTTTAACCAACTTGATTCTAAATAGAGGAAGAGTGATGATCAATTTTTATTCTTTTTAGAAACATTAACTCAGAAGCCTATCTTTTCAACTAATCATACTGAGAAAAAATTAGTTGACTTTCTGATTATTAAATATTTATTAAACACCTACAATTTGGCAGCTATTGGGTTAAAAATGGAAAAATATCTCTCACTTGTTAAGATTATTTAAATTGGAATTCTGGGTTTATCGTTCAAACTCGTATTAGCTAGAAATGCTTTTACATCTATTTAATATGATGCTATGGACAAAAAGTACATTTCCTCCGATTTCATGAAAATAAAAAATATTTGCATGCAGTAGGAACTTGAATGTTCAGAATGTTGAAATCAAGTATTAAAAACATTATATTTATGCTGTTTCCTGGCTCTACATACTGATCTCTACCCTAAACCTCACAAAAATTCATTAAAACCAAACAGACAGATTTCAAGCAGCCTTTTCAAATAAATTTCTTCACAACAACACTAAAAGTATCTTGTTTTACTGGATTTTACTTTAAAAATAACTAATCAAAACTAAATAAGGAAAATGTCATTATCCTGAGTTACATAGATAGAACAACAGTAATTATGTTATATACCATGGAGTCGAAATCGACTCATAGTTGACTGTCCAGCAGGCTTTCAGAGGCAGTAAAGTGCACAGGAGGAGAGAGCCCATCTGTCTTCTCCAGTGCAGCTGGTGGATTTGAACTGACTGCCTTTTGGCTGGCAGTCCAAATCCTTACCACTAAGCTACCAGAACTCCTTAGAACAAAATAGTCACTGTGAATTATAGTGATCAAACTAATATCAATTAACTGATCATGGAAAAGGAGGGGGAAAGATATATAGATATAGATATATAGCTAGAGATAGAGATATAGCCAAATACAACAAAAAAGACGAACCTTTCTTCTGTTAGAGGTACGAGTTATTCTGCCAGCATTATGGGAGGACACATCCTCCTGAGTATCTGAAGAGCCAAGAGTATCAACACCTTATGAGGAAGATACAAGAAACAGTAAGGTAACCAGTAAAACATCATAACATGAGTCATCATTATCTTTTGGATACACCAGGAACTCTTTCAGTCTCAACCTCTTCTTTTAAAGTCACATCTAAACAAATTTTAGAAGTAAGATTTAAAAAAACTATTTTGGGTAATTTGAAAACCAAAGTCTGTTAACACTTTCCATAGTCACTATTTGCCATACTATGATGCTCATTTGTTGTTGTTGTTGTTGTTGTGTACCATCGAGTCAGAACTGATCAATAGCAGACCCACCAGAGGGTTTTCAGAGGCCGTTACTCTCAAGGGAGTAGACTTCCTATTGTTCTGCGGAGCAGTTGGTGGACTGGAACCTGGTGCCTTTGGAATTACAGTGCAGGTTACTGCCTAGGCCACCAGAGCTCCCTCTGATGCTTATTTAGCAGATTATAAATCACATTACAGTAAACACATGTATTTTAATGGATCTCATCTATTCCAAACTGCTTTACGTACAAAGAAATGGAAAGAAAGAACATCAAAATAATGGTGAAAATACTTAGGTTAAGTGGAATGTGTTAAAGAGCACAGGCTTGGAATCTGACAGACTATGATTCAAATTTAGTTCTGATTTAACACATGCCTTGAACTCATAAATGCGCTTACATTTAGCCTTAGAGGTGACAATGAGCCATGAAGGAATTAGAGATTTAAGTATTGGTTTCTACCCTAAGCAACGCCCATGACTTCTGACCGCCAAGTCATGGTTTATCGGGGAAGCTAAGAGAATTCTTTGCTGTTTTGCAAGATCACAGAAAAGCCAGAGACCTGGAACATACGCATGCCAAAACTACCAGGCCAATGTGGCTGAACTATTTCAGATATTCAAGAGTAACCCTTACAATCCAGATCACTTTTCTTGTACAAACTGAGTACTCACCTAAGGAAGTAAAATACAGGACTCAAAATAGCAAGAAGGTATCTTACAAGCATTTCAATACTATTTTTTTAAAAGCCAGTATGCTGCGATAAAAACATAAAATGAGGAAATCGGGGTTCACATGCACACATGCTGAATATAATATTTATGATTATGCAATAAAAATGACTACCTGAAAGAGTCTCAGCAATGGGAGACTTACTAGGAGACCCTGGAACAGCAAAGGACACCTGCAGAGGTTCTATGTTTTCCTAAAAATAGAGAGGAAAAAAAAGGATAGATACAGTCATCTTTAACTCCAGCAAATATAAATAACTGCCCCAAAAATAATTTACTGAGGTATTAGCATAAACACAGAAGATGGAAAATCAATAATAAAAAAGCCATCAAAGAAAAAGCTATCAAGCTATCAGGTACAAATAAGCATATATCTGATAATACCTATCAATCACCTTTTGGGATGAAACTGTTTACTCACTGCAATATACTAAAACAAAAATTAGAAACTACACTAGAAGTAGTAATAATGAATGAGAGTGTAAGGTACTTTTTATTTAAGTCCTAAATACTGTTATAAAGCAAATAACAACATTCATTCATTTTCTTACAAGATAACTCATGACAGTATTCCAGAGAGCATTAGGGTAAAACTGCAATGTTGACAAAGATGTAGGGGGAAAAAAAATCTTTTCTGTCTTATATAAATACCAACATGGTGGTAGTTATTGTCCCACGGTGGTACAAATGGCTAGTACTCATCTACTAACAAGACTGACAGCTCGAACCTACCCAGAGATGCCAAGAGAGCAGAGGTGAGAGCCAATAAACCTCCTAGAACTATGGAACACACACAGCTGCTCTGAATAGGAATCACCTTGTTGGCAACTGTTTCTTTTATAAATTAGCTTTTCAGAGCTTATCAAGTTGAAGAAATTACTTTTTATCACTAATATGGTGAAAGGTTTCTTTCTTTTAAAAAAAAAAAAGGTGGTAGATTTTTATCTACATCTATTTAGATGGTTTTTATCTCTTAGTACAACAGATAATACTGTTGTGTGGGGTTTTTTTTTTCTCTTTTCAAAAATTGCACCAAGCAAAGCACAGCTCTATTTGACACAAGTGTGTTGTACAGGCCTTGACAGTACTGCCCTCACTATCCATTTACTGGACAGTAATGTAATCCCAAGAAAAGGATGGTAGATAACACTGTTTTTCAAGTATTAAACTAACCTTCCATCTCCCGACCTAGGATAAATACTGTTTGGTCAGAATATAAATCTTTTTATGTATTAAATTTGGCTAAGATTTTTCACATCAGTGCTTCATGAAGTTATTGGACTACCATTTTCTTTTTCCCTGACAACTTTGTTTGGTATTGGTATTAATTTAATGCTAGCAACAAAAATGTTATCCATTTTTAAAAAGATTTGTATAGAATTAATATTGTACTCAGGGAGATGTGATGGTAAGAAGTTGCAATGCAATCCGAAAGGTACATAGTTTGACCCTGCCAGCTGCTCCACAAAGGAATCTCCTCCCATACAATTTATTGCATTTGAAAATCCACTAGAGGGTCAGCTCTGGGTCAATTCTGACTTGATGGTGGTTGTTGTGTACCGTGGTGTCGGAACCAATCGCACGCGAGGACACTGCCCACCCTTCTCTTGCAGAGCTGCTAACGGCCTCAAACCACATGCCTTCAGGATTGCAGGGCAGCTTTTTGCCATTAGGCCATCAGAGCTCCAACTCAATGGCACACAACATTTTACCTTACTTGAATGTGATAGATTTCATCAATAAAATTATCTTGACATAGAGATTTTTTAAATATTTATTATATTATGGGGAAATGTTTTTCAAGTTTTTTCTTCCCATTCACGTTTTATTTCATATAATCATTCCCATACAGTCTTAAAAAAACCATCACTGATTAACGCTATTTGCTCATCTTTTCAGATCCCCACTGCACCTTTCCTAATCCCTTCACTCCCTTCCTCTACCCAGCAACCTCAATGACCCCCCTGATTACCACCTCTTGACTCTCAGTAGTGCTGCTCCCTTCCCTTCCCTCTTTGGACATTTATGCATCTTACTAGTTAACCTTCTGTTTTTACAGTATTGGTTTTATGCAGCATTTGTCCTTATGAGATTGAGTTAGTTCACTCAGCATAATGCTCTCTAGCTTATATGTTATATAGCTCTTCCATTTTATATGTTTTGGCTTCTTTAAATTGTTGTTATGTGCCGTCGAGTCGCCTACGACTCATAGCGACCCTATGTACAACA